TTTATTACATTTCCCAAGCTATATCCATTTTTCTTTTTCCTTTTTAACATATATGGTGACTCGCAGGTTGGTTCGGCAAATCATCATATTCATTACTTTGACTTGAGGAAAACCAATCAGCCACTGATAAGCTTCAGCGCCCATAAGAAGGCCGTGTCTTACGTGAAATTCATGTCAAACACCGAACTTGCTTCTGCTTCTACAGACAACACTTTGCGCCTTTGGGATGTTAATGATAATCTTCCTGTATGTCATAACTCTCTCTCTCTCTGGGTAATCGGTTTTACTATTTTTATCAAGGGTCAAATTGCAATTTTAGTCCTGTTGGTTTGATCCAGTGACGTTTTTAATCCTAAGAATTGAGCATGTTTGCTATTTAGTCCTATGATTTTAAAATTCAACGCAATTTCAGTCCTTTGAGACTGAAAATGCAGCAAAATTAAAAATTACAGGACTTAAATTGTTAATAAAAAATCTTTTGGATGGATTTTTTATTAGCGAATTAAGTCTTGTAATTTTAAATTTTGTTGTAATTTCAGTCCCATAGGATTGAAATTGCAGTAAAATACTAAATTACAGGATCAAAAAACAAAAAGTTGAAATTTTGGACTAAAAATGCTACAGTGTTAAACCAGCAGGACTAAAAATGCAATTTTGCCTTTTATCAGGTACGCACATATAAGGGCCACACAAACGAGAAGAATTTCGTGGGCCTAGCGGTAAACGAAGAATACATTGCATGTGGGAGTGAGACAAATGAAGTGTATGTGTACCACAAGGTATATATATCTTCATTCTTCAAGATTTCAAATTTGTACCGAATGATTTCTTACATTGCCTATGGTTAATGTGTGGGGTCGTTTTTGTGGTTAATTAGGCAATTGCAAGGCCTGCTGTTCTGCATAAATTTGATTCGGAAATGGAAGAAGCAGATGATGACCCGAGCTCGTATTTCATCAGTGCCGTGTGTTGGAAAAGTCACAGCCCGACTATTCTGACAGCCAACAGTCGAGGGACGATAAAAGTTCTTGTCTTGGCTGCTTAGTTTTTGGAAAACTAAGTTGGTAAAGTTTGTTTGTGTGTGTTTTGTGAAATATTGTCAGTTGTGTTGTTGATGCTACTATACAGCTATGAAACTATCGACTATCAACGACTATCGTTGGTGTTTGGTTTAGAGTATGTCGGACCTGAAACTGTTTGATGTTTGGTTTAGAGTATACTGTGTTGTTCTGTATAGTTGGTTTTTGGATTAGAGTATGTTGTGTTGTTCTGTAGTTTTTATGTTGGCCTGATGTATTATGTTTAACAATATGCACAGTTTTATTAAAAAATGTCATAATTTCAAAATTTAATTGCATAAATATATATTTTTTATTCAGGTCGGGTCGACCTGTCTAATAATTAGGTATACTTGCACAACAATTTGTGTTCATCTTCATATATTTGTTTTTACAAAGAGTGAACTTGTGAGTACAAGATATTATTTTATTTTTTAAGAATAATTGGCACTCTAGTAGAGATAATTTGTGGGTCCCAAGATTATATTATATTTGCCAACACATTGAGGAAACACAAGCACTCCAAACAATTTTAAGCTTAGGAAATATTTGAAAGTTTATGTAGTAACCCAAAGTACATTTTTAAATATTTTATTCATGATATTTTTGTGCATCTCCAACTGCTCCAAAGAAACTATGCCAATGTGGTGTTAGATAGGAATAAGTCAAAATTAGAAGTCCATTTTTAATCTGTATATAATTGTCACGGATAGCACCAAATAATTGACTTAGCAGCCTTCGGTCCAAACACTTTGCGTACGATACAAGAAAATGGAGGCAATCAATAATGGACCAAATTTTCCTTTTGACATTTTATTCTGCATGCATTTGAACGTTTTCAAGTTTGACCTCTAGAAACTATCAAACACAACATAAATATAAATATAAAATGACAAAATGCTACTAAGTAATACTGGTGTTAGGCAGACCTACATATTTTATTAACAGATGTATATTTAGCCTATTTGAAAATACTTCTTAAATGGACTTTTGAGTGCAAAGTTTAAAGTCCATTTGATTGATAAGTTAATGTTGTGGTAAATTAAAAATGAACTTATGGATAAGTTGTCTCTTTAAATAGTTCATTCTATAGAAATAAATGATTGGAACTTTTGAAAAAATCAATTTGCATAAGTTCATTTAAGAAATGGATTTTCACACAAGTGCTCCCAAACAAGCATTGTATCTTTCAAATTAAAACGTCGTATCTTAAAAAAACAATATAAGCAAAAACATGAAATTTTATAGCTTTAGTACGCATTTCTATTACAAAAGTATAACGGGTCGACCCGCCTAACGATTAGGCCGTCTCACTCAAGAATTTGTGGTCCCACTATTAGGCTACCTAACCGTTAGACAACCATATAAAAAAAAAAGTGAATATGTATACTATGAATATTCCCTATTTTAGTTTGGTAATTTTTATGTTAGGTAATTCTCAAAGAACTACTTCTTATGTTAAGCCGATTCAACTATTTATGCAAAAAAAAAATTGTATGAAAAACATAGG